CCTTAGTTCAGTCACAAGCTCTTTGGCTCATTGAAAGAAGCAGTGAGCAGAATCGCCTTGCCTCTGCTCTGCAGGAGATCAAAGTCGATTATTGTAATCTTATTTTCTGGCTTGAAAATCTTTTAACATTGCTCCTGCTGTGAGTTGCCTGCCAAAACCATAGCACATAGAGATCTCAGTACACATGCTGCTTAGGGTTTTTGAACCCGAAAGCTTGCTTAATAATTGTTTTCCAACTAGTTAAGTTGGTCTAATAAAAGATATCAGATTCACCCAAAGAACCGTGTCTGGTTAGGCATGGTAACATTTTCAAAGGAATGTATGACTTTGGCTCCTCAAACCCATCCCTTTTCATAAGGGTTAATACACCTAAGTCCCCTAGGCCACGTCCTCATGGCACAAAGCTTTGTTGTTACAGCCAGACAGCTAACTTGAGATAGCCGTCACAATGTAAGGTCCTAAGGGAAGCAAGGCACAGGTAGATTGTACCTCAAGGTAGAGTCGAGGTCAAACTTATACCACACTTTGGAGCTAAGCTCATCTCCTTGGTTTCCAACAGGACTCGGCATTGCAGGAGTTCTCTCAAACCATAATCTTAGACATTTGTGAAATTTTTACCCACCGTGAAGCAGTTAGATGTCTACATGCCAATGATCCTGCATACAAAATGAAAGGCTCTTTATCCTTAAGTCAGTCCCTAAGACTCTACACAGCTTCTAAAAATGATCTGGGATCATTTAATTCATTTCAGCTCACCTTTAAAGCAGCCTTAGTACTCAGCAAAATTGCATTGCAGTGAGTTAACAGACTTGCTGTTCAATAGAAGAGTCATTTGAGCTTTCTTCACCTGACTCTCCCGTGCTCTTTACTTTGCACAAAGCTGGTACAAAATGCAGCTCTTCTGATCAGATAATGTTTTACGCTTACTTTATAAATGATCATGAGGCCTAAGACAGGGGAAACGCAGGCTTCTAATGCCTTCACTCAAAATCTCTTTAACCACAAGACATCACAATCTTCACTGTTCACTCTGACAATGTGTCTACCCTTTCATTTTTTCTCCTGTTTTAACACGGGATAATAAAATGAACCCAACTGCGCATTCCAGCAAAAACAGGACAATCCAACTCACTTCTCCAATGTCCTGTGTGTATGCTCAGTCATTTGCACCCGTACAAAGTGGATGTAAAATGCTACTAATTCAGAATGGATGTTTTTTACATACACCCTGCAACGGGACAAATGACCACACCAGGCACAGAACAATGGAGAAATGGGCCTAGACTTTATCGCCGAGTTTGAACACAGCTGGAAGAAAGTGCTTGGATCATAGAACAAATGTTTCACAGCTATCCTACGATTGTGTTAAGTAGCACATGTAATAACACAACTAAAGTATAGACACACTCAAGTGGTGTAACCTGTCACAAGACCCCCCTCAACCAAAGCATTGGGATGACTCTCCAAGAGTCCATTATTCTGTTAACATTATAGACATCCTGAACTAACCCTATAAAGTTATTTAACGACAAGGCAAAGAATGACTTAGCCTTTACTGTATGATATTGGAAATAAAGACACAACCGTGAATTAATGGAGAAATGAGAGCCCACTGTTGAGGAATGCATGTGGCTGGTGGACAGTTCAAAGAGGACAGATAGCAGACAAACCTTGCAAGACTCATGGTATAAAGCAAAGCAAGACCACAAATGCCTATGAGATGACTTTAGCAACCTGAACTCCAAAGGGAGTGTTTTGATTGGCTGTCAGTGATGTCCTCGCCCTCAAATCCAGTGGACTGCACCAGTTAAACTCCTATTCCTCGGTCTGGTTTTGTTGTTCCAACAATTTCCATCTTACAATAGAAATAGGACCCAACGGGCTGCGTATTGCCATGGGGCTCTCTCCTCCTCTGAGGCAGTCTAGTTCCCACTGAGCTGCTGAGTAGTCTGTAACGAGATGGCATCACATCCTCCTGCTCTAGGGACATCCTCCTTGTACCCATCCCAGTGCCTCTAGCAGCTGTGCTTTGGTCTCTGCTGTGAGCCTGGGACCAGAGCTGATGGGACCTGTAGTATTTTTGGATAAGAAGTTAAGGCATACGCAGAGCCTGCCCATTGATCCCAAAAGGGAGATCTTCTCTCTGAAGCGGTGCTGTGCTGACTTTGATTCTCTGATGTTGTACAGTATTCAACTGCCTGAACCACTGAGGACCTCTGTCAGCTCCACAGCAGGGATGCTCTTTGCCTCCTAGGTTCTTCAAATGGCAGAGCCCCAAAGGCCAGAGCTTCAGCTCCTCTAAACTGTCGTTGGTCCTTTGACTTCAACTGAGCCATGAGAGTTTACAAAGTTGATGAGAGCTTACAAAGTTGATGATTTAGCCCTTGTGTTTCTGAAAGAGAAGGACTCAGATCTACTCCCAACACCATGTGGATGCCCAAGACTCATTCTGTAACTGTCCTTGTCCTCTCCAGGACTTGGGTGGCCAGAGGGAGGCTGAACCGTCAAGTTATTCCTTTCCCTTGGGCTTGCGCTTGCATGACCTGACCAACCCTCAGGGAAAGTGAACTGAAAACTGGAGTAAAGTAACAGTAGTGTAAGAGAGGTGGGGGGGCGAGGGTGCAAAAATAGCCACGTCCAACGTGGAGGCTGATCATATTGCTGTGACTGTTGGAAGCTAGTGCTGCTCCGGGTGTCACGTGGCTGTCCCAGGAGCTGAGCTGTCTGGCTACGCCTCTGTAAAGTGCCACCTGTCTGACTGAGCTGAAGTTGATACTTTGAAAGGGGTAAATGACAGCACTAAGTTCAGAAAAACTAAGGATGGACGGACAGCCAGACAGACACATATGCCTATTAACACTCACACGCACACAATGGCAGCCTCCAGATCCACAGGAGCAGTGGATTTGCCTGCAGACTACAAGCCCCGTGTAGACTATTGGCTTGCAAGAAGTGGTTCCAGAGCCTCTGATCTGGATTAGTGGTCCTAGGAGCCTATGTAGTGCCAGGAGGGTCCAGGTAAAGGCTACAGAGCAGCAGCTCAGGGGAGTAAGGTGTTCAAATCCCACTGAAATGCAATGGAGTAAATTTTTCAAAATACTTCAGAAATTTAGGAGCATAAATTCAGCTGAAAGTCACTATAGGCCAAATTTCCCCATTTTCATTAATGACTTATGGCCAGATTCCGATCCACTGTTTAGGCTCCTAAATCACATGGAGTTAGGCACTTAAACAACTTTAAAATCTAGGCCTGAGGAACAATTTGAATGGGACTTGGCTGTCTGAGCACTTTTGAAAATCTCAGTAGGTGCCTATATATCTTAAAACCTGCAAAGATAAAGTCCTCAGGAGCCTAAGTCTCACTGAATTCAATGAGGATTAGGCTCTTAAGTGCATAAGTGACTCTTGAAAAAGGAATTTAGGCTCCTAAGTCATTTGGAGGTTTTTGTTAAATAATGCCCTTAGGCACTTTTGAAAATCCTAGCTACTACCAAATACGGAGAAAAAATGTCTGTGTCAAGTTGGTCTTTTTACATTGTTGAGCTTCTTCTCCTAAAAAGAAGTCATGAAAAAGACCTTCCAAAAAAGTAAACGTGGGGGTATTTGTGTAGATTTAAATGTAAATACTCATGTCTTTAACTGCTCCTCTGCTCCCTGCACATAGCATGGAAATGTATTAGGCCTTTACTTCCCCCCACCTGCCCCCCAGCACATATCAGCCTGGTGCCACTCCCCACTTTGGGAAAGCACTTCTTTTCATGACCTACTGCTTAAGCCAAGATAGGGTGGGAGGATTTTTAACTCTAGAAGCTGGTTCTTCCGGAGAGAAGCGTATCTGTGTCTCCCCTGGAATGGGATTGAATATGACAGGAAAGGGAATGAGCATGATAAGGAAAACAGTGGGGGGAGCGGAAATCTCCTGGACCTTAAAGCTGCTCAGTCCAGTCCATGGGCAGGAAGGGAGCAAAGGGAAATCCACCTTCTAGGACCTTGCTGAGAGCAGAATGACCGCTGCATCATTTTGCTTTGAGAACCACTGGGGCCTACCAGGAAGCGTGAGCAAAAGTCCATTTCGGCCACTTTGTGCTGGTTCAAGTTGGCTGTGTCATAGGTTCACAGGAAAGCAGGGTTGGAAGGGACCTCATGAGACCATCTAGCCCAGCAGCCTGCTCAAGGCAGGGTCATCCCAGCCAAGGGTCTGTCCAACCTGCTCTTCAACATTTCCAAAGAGAAATTCTACAGTCTTTCTAGGCAGCCCGTTCCAATGCTTGGCCACCCTCATAGTGAGGAAGTTCCTCCTTCCTAATCTCCAACCTAAATTTTCTCTGCTGCATTTCAAGGCCATTGTTCCTAGCCCTGTCCCCCCACAGCCATAGATAACAGTCTATCTCCATCCTCTTCATAGAGAGTTAAAGGTGAAGCAATGTGTCTGTTGATACACTGGCTCCTGGGACTGTTAGTCCTCCAGTGAAGTCAACAGACAGTGACAAAAGTCAATGTGAAGCAGAAGCTGCCAGTGAAGCCTAAGGAATCTGCGACTAGGGGTTGCATGCTAGGCACAAGATGAATGGCCACCTCCAGCACTCATGCCGTTCCTAAATTATGAGGCCCCAGATTGCCAGAGGGTGGGAGCAAAATCAGACCACAAGCAACCTCTGTCTCCAGCCCTATTACCAGAAAGGGATATTGAGAGTTCCCGTGAGATGCCGGCTGCCAAGGGCTTCCAAGCAGTCACTTGCATGGCTTGTCTTCACCCTGGCATTTCTCGGCCAAGTGATGGAAGCAGCTGGAGTCCCTTTTGAAGAGAAAATGGTAGAGAGGAGAGGACAAGAACAAGGTAGAGAGGTGACAGAGGGAGCTGGGCAGAAAGCCAGGGACGATGAAACTCAGGCTAGCAGGTAGTAAGAGGCCTGGCTTTGTAGTAGAGCCAGGAGACAGGAGCACAGAGTAATGGGATCCTGCACCAATTAATGGCCATGTTCTTTCTTTTGAATGTGTAGCTTGCAAACGCAAAGAGCAGGAGCAGCAGAAAGACCGGAGCCTGCAGCCCAAGAAGCAGCGGCTGGTCTTTACGGACCTCCAGCGCCGCACCCTGATCGCCATCTTCAAGGAGAACAAGCGTCCCTCCAAGGAGATGCAGATGACCATCTCGCAGCAGCTGGGCCTGGAGCTCAATACTGTCAGCAACTTCTTCATGAACGCCCGCCGGCGGTGCATGAACCGCTGGCAGGAGGAGCCTGGCACCAACCCCGGGGTCCCCTCTTCTTCTACAAGCACTTTCTCCAAAGCATGATGTTCCTTCTTGGCCCCTCTGTATCCCCTGACCACTCCTTCCTCATGAGAAATCAAACCACACACTTATACACATGCACCAATCAAATGACAAGTCAAACTGACCCAGACCTTATGGATGGGTGCTCTTGGGTGCTGCAGGGAAGTTGGCCTCCCTCTCTGGATTTTGGCCTACTCCTATAGGATTTTGCCTTCATAGTCCAGTCCCAGAAGAAGCTCATGGCAGAGGGGCAGTTTCCTTTCTCTTGGCGCTCTGAGGAAACTTCCAGTGGAGTGAGTGATGCCCAAACCACCTGAAGTCCAAACCATCCTTGCAGCTCTCATGGTTCACACGGGATATGAGGCCTCCTGTTCCTTCCCCACGATCCAGCCACTGAGGAGAGATGCCCTCTCCTGCTTCTGCCAACAAAGGAGGGTGCATCCCTCCCCAAACATGTCTCCCTACAGTCTGATGTATTTACTAGGCTCACCTTTAAACGTCACATTATTAGCCTCTCCCTTCACAGGATAAGACACAAGATTTGCGGCCTGAGAAACGGGCTCCAGCTCATGCATTTAGAACCAAATTCCATACGATTTAAGTAAAGAAGAGCAGCCAACCTCTCCCCATTTCAGGTATTTACATAGGAGAGCAGAGGTCTCAAGTCCCATGTTTGTAAAGGTATTAGATGCTTAATGGTGCAGACGGGCACCAAGCCGGAGCTCAAAAGCACCTGTGCCACTAATTCCCATTAAAATAATGAAATGCATGGGAGTTAGGCATCTCGATGCTTTTGAGAATCCCACCAGGTGCACCCCACAGCTTCAGGCAAATAAGTACCTTCTGTGAAGACATTTCTCCAACCCTTTGAGAAGCCCCCAAGAGCATCCATTGTGGCTACTGGTTTTTGACATCAAGTGCACAAAGAAGGTCCAAAAGGGAAAACAAGCAAACAGCCCAAGAGAAGACTCCTTTTCTTCTGGGATTCCTTCCAAAGAAATTCCAAGCCTAAGGAAAATGTGGAGACATTAATACAGAAACAGCACCCACCCTCTCCCCTGCTGGCCTTGCTTTGACAGCAGGGTGACACAGGAGCCAGCAGAGGAGGGTGCCACGTTGAATTGCACTGTGTCACCGAGAGTTCAAGCAGATCAAGAAGCACATTTTAGCGAAATAAATCGGGTATAAAAATAGTTGTTTGAAAAAAACCCACGAGGAAAGACTTCGACTGCAGGATCTGATCTTTCCTGGGGACTGGACCGGTGAGGCCGGTCGAGCCCAGCAGTGCTCGCTGCTTTATTTCTGTTTTATTTTTGGTTTGTTAGCGAACCCAAACAAAGCACTGTTTTGTCTGCTTTGTGTCTCCCCCCACTGGTAATACACATACTGTCTGCCCCGCTCCCTACCCTCCTCTCTGTTACCAAAGAAAGACAACCAAAAACCAAAACCCTGCTGAAATCAACAATGGTGCACGGTGGAAAACAAAAAAACAGCAACAAAAAAAAATGGATCTAGTTGCAAAATATAGAGATATATGTGAGAAAAAAAAAAAAAAGATCAAAAGGGAAAAATAAACAAAAAAGTAATAAAACCACAAAAAAAAAAAGGACCCCTAGAAAAAGCTCGACTAAAAGACCGGCAACTTACAAAAGACGACAGATTTTTTTTTGTGCCAATTAACAACCTGCCTTAAATGCGAAATCCTAGAGAGATGGTACTAGCTTCAAAATTTATCGTTTCCTCTGATCTCTAAATGGTGACTTGTGCCATATACAAAGCAATCACAAGGCCAAACAATTAAGATCAGCTGTCAAGCAACCAACCAACCCCCCCATCCCCAATGCCTCTTTACAAAACTCCAGTGCCTCCTTGGGGAGAGGAGGAGGTGGGGGAGGAGACAAGATGAGGTTGGGGGAGAAGGAAATGGCCCCTCCTCCACATATGGGAAAATTTTATAAAAAAAAGGGACAATATTGAATTGATGCGGGTAAAATAGTACCATCTTGGATCTAGTGCTACAGTTTCTTCTATTCACTTTACTTTGAAAATGATCTGTTGTGCAACAGTGAGGCACCTTGCTGAAAAGAATGAAAGAAGGAAATATATATATATATAATATATATATATACATACATTGAAAAGGAAAAGAAAGGAAGGAAAAAAGAAAGGAAAGAAATAAACCTAGAAATCATTTAATAACCTATCAGAATGGGCTGAGTAGGTTATCAGGACTCCCTGTACCGTCTCACCAAAGCGATCATTGGGATGGAGAGGGCGACCCAGAAGCAGGGGTGAAGGTGGGGGGGTCAGAGTGATATGGTTACAACTAAATAAAACATAATTTACTACTAGAAAGACAGAGAGATGGAAGAAGGAAGAGAGAGAGAGAAAGAGAGAGAAAGAAAGAGAGAAAAGGAAGGAAGGAAAGAACATGGCAGGCGCCACGTTGTGTTTTGCCGACCAAAAAAAAAACACAAAAAAGGAAAAGCAAATATAATTCCCCACCCCCCCGCCACCGACTTTCCCCTAAAGTTGTTTCTTCTTGTCTTGTCATGACGTGGTGGCGATGATGATGGTGGATTCCTGAACCCGATCTAGTAGTATTCAAGGGCTGAGAAGCCAAGAAGGGGCCTTGGTTTGGGAAGCGAAAAGAGTAAATTCCACAGGCCCCCAAGGATGCAAAGACATTTCTAGTGAGAACCCAAGGATAAAGGCTACCTCACTTGAGTTTTCAATTTTTGTGATTTGAAAATCACGTCTGATACCAAAGATTTTGTTCCCCTTGTCTGGTCTGTGCTGGAAACACCGCTTTCCCTGCTGCCTTTGAGACAGGTACATCTGTAAATCCTTTCCCTTCTACCCCTCCTCTACCTCTATCCCGCTCCCCACAACCTCCCCCTCTTCTTCTCCCTTCCCGGCAGCCCCTTCGAGTCCTGAGTGCGAGAGAGAAAGAGAGAGGACAGAATGGTAGCATGTTAGATGAGTGCCTTTTTCTTGTACCAAAGGTGTGTGGCTATTTCTTCACTTCTATGCTTTTGTCCTATACGCTCGCTGTTACCTCACCTCTTCGAAGCAGATGGATTCTGGTGATCCCTTTAGCCTTTGGGTGTTGGGGCAGAAAAATAGATCCCCCCTTCTGGAAAAGTTCTCAGTTTCTGTTCTTCCTAGGCAGAAATCTCCCCCTTGGACCTCTCAATGCCTCAAAATAGAGCGGTTAGGAGGATCCCGGAGACCCACCTCACCACTTGTTCCTTCCCTCACCATCCTTCCCGCTCGCTGACCTCGGTCCATGGCCGCTTCCCTTCGTGCAGGTCTTAGAGCTAGGGACAAAAAGGGATCTCAGTTTGTCTGAAGTTCTGAGTTGGCTCCTGGGATCATGCAGATGCTAAAGAGAGAAGTGTATTCATAGATTCATAGATGTTAGGGTCGGAAGGGACCTCAACAGATCATCGAGTCCGACCTGAGTATTTTACTATTAAATCCTCCCCTTCCTCCTCCTGTGGAGGACAGTGTGGGGCATTCCTCGGACCAAATATTGACCTCGCCCTCAACCCAATTTTTGGCAGCCTGGGCAGAGCTTGAGATTTTTAACAGCTTCCCAGGCCGGGAGGGTGAGACTCTCAAATACTACAGCTCATGTCAGAAAGAAGTTGAAGGGAAAACCCTCCCCTTAGATCAAGGGTGGGCAAAATGCGGCCCGCAGGCCGGATGCGGCCTGCCAGGCCATTCTATCCAGCCCGCAGGGCCCCTAAAAAACTTAAAAAACTAATATTTATCTGCCCTGGGCTGCCTGTCATGTGGCCCTAGATGGCTTGCCAAAACTCAGTAAGTGGCCCTCTGCCCAAAATAATTGCCCACCCCTGCCTTAGATGGATCCCGTTGGTCTCATATATACATCAGGACCATTGGTGCCATCCCACAAGGGAGCAAGGGAGTCGCACAGGGGAGTCGCCTGATGTGGGATTGTCTCTTCAGCATGCCACGTTTTTCCTAAATCTCTCACAGAGAAGGGTTTGGAGCCAAGCCACAAATGTAATAACCACAAAGTGACCATAACGTTTGTGGACATTTTGGTTGTGGGTCCTGCATGACCTCAGCTAGGGTATCCCCCACCCAATGAACCTGCATTTCTGAGAGTAAGCAGTTACACCAGGGTCAGATACCACCAAGCCTGGAAGGTGAGGAGGGAAGTTTGGGAAATAGCGCTGGTGATGTTCATTGCCTGGCAAAGTTTTCCGGCCCCTCCACACGTTGGTCACATAACAACCTTCCCCTAGGTGGGCTGGCAGAGGCAGGGATCAAAGCGGGACCCTCTAGATATAAACACATGAGTCTCTACCGCCAGAGCAAAACTGTAGGTTGGCCAACGCTCAAGAGGCTCATCAACATTTATCGGTGGCCTGGTCACAGCCAGAGGGAGACAGTGCACCACACGCCTGCACTGCCGCCCAAAATCACCCCAGTGCAGAGCATGGCAAGTGGAGCTGGGTGTAGACATGCTTGCCATGCAGATTTCTTCTGGCACCGTTGGTTCCTTGGCAAACGAAAACATTTAAAAGAATTTCATTCATCTTCAACTAAACCTTTTTTGTGGGAAAGCAAAATGTTTCGATTGTCTTATGGGTTTTGTTTTGCCTCTTTAGGTCAGGTCATTTTTTTTTTGAATATATAAAAGGGAAGCAGGCCTCCCATGAAAAGTCACTGCCAATCAAACATCAAAATGCTTCGCTTTGAAAAGATCCAAATGACATATTTCATTTTTTTCAGGGGGTTGTTTGGGATTTTGTGGGGGGGATTGAAACAACTTGGCAAGTTCATCACAACTTCATGAAAGGTTTTGCTTGGCGTGAATTTGAATTTTTTCAGAAATGAAGATTCGGCCAAAACATTTGGGCCAGCTCTACCCATGAGCATAATGTGCAACCCAGAGCTGGACCCAGAAAGGGAAATTTACCCTATATTGCTTTGCTTGTTAACAAAGCCAAAGCAATACTAGCCTATCCTGACCTTTCAAACCACAGTCCCCGCCTCTTAAAGGGGAAGCGTTCACATTAAATAAAAAAGAATAACTCATGTTTACCAAGGGACCTCAGTAGCTTTGGCATCTGCTTTTTTCTGGGGAAGATTATAGAGATAAATTGTGAGCCCTCATGGGTCATGCAGAAGGTCAGATTAGAGGAAAGTACCTTCTTGTCATCCCTTCCCCTCCCCAAATCCAACCTGCATCAAACTCCACTAGATTGAAACGCTAGTGGTTGTTTCTAAGCATGACATGGCTAACCCCAGTTAGCCATCAGGATTCAGC